CGTGGGAGGAGTTGCAGCAGCGGCGTGGTGTAGGCGGTGGCGCAGCGTGAGGAGGACTTGTGCAGCGCCGTGGAGGTGGTTTCTGCTGCGGCGCGGCAAAGGTGGAGCAGCGACTTTGATCGTGAGCTTCACGGCGCGTCATGGCTGCGTGGTGGAATTTCTTGCACAGCGCGGTGGAGTCTCCACGGCGTGGAGGAGAGGAATGCAGCTGGAGTGGGCTGCCGGCGTGGGACTGCTCATGACGTTGGAATCCATGTACAGCGGGGAAAGAAGCTTGGTCCCGGAGCCAGAATATGAAGCTCTATACGCATGCTACGTATGTCGCACAGAGGCCTGGGAGCTCGGGCCTGACTCGTATCTCTATTTGGTTTTAATTCGTTCGTTGGGAAACCGAATTCGATTCTGTTCTCACTAAATTAATCCTCTCCTCCATATGAAAATCGGCAACGGACTCGACCTGCACACCACATACGAAAAAATACCGGAAAACGACCGAGAAATAAAGAAAATACTCGAGCTAAAGAAAAACACGAAATAAACTGAAAATCTAACTAAAAACCAGCTAAAGGACCTAATGTGGGGAAAAAGAAAGGCAAAAATAATAACGAAAAACGCAACAAAAATAAGACAAATAATCCTCAACCGCTTTGATCCCCCGAGACCTACAAAGATGCCCGGAGGTACTCCTGACGTTAAACCTATGACTATCAAGTCAGTAAGGATGCTGAAAAGCTTTGTATGATTGTATGAAAATGTTTTAGGGTATAGAGTGTGACTAACATTACCTTCTTCCCAAATTTATCTATTTATATTGGGTTATTAGCTTCCCTAGTCACATTACCTTCTTCCCAAATTTATCTATTTATATTGGGTTATTAGCTTCCCTCATACGCTTTGTTCTTCATCCGTCAAATCATTTATTCCTTTTTTTATCCTGGCCTTACACGTATCCCTTATGGATCGCTTTTCGTAACCGTCCCACTAGTTCGGTCTTCTCTCCTAAGATCCTTTATGTCATACTACATCAAGCTACCCATTAACCGAGCTACTTTAACGTCGAGCTCGTCATACTTCAGTCCTTATGGATAGTCGAGCTACTACACGCCTCATCACACTTCTAATCCTCATAGATTAGCCGAGTTATCCTTATGTCGAGCTACTATACGCCGAACTCGTCATACTTCTAGTCCTCGTGGATTAGCCGAGCTATCCTTATGTCGAGCTACTATACACCGAGATCGTCTCACTTCCAGTCCTTGTGGGTTAGTAAGCTATCTTTATGTCGAGCTACTATACGTCGAGCTCGTCACACTTTCAGTCCTTGTGGATAGTCGAGATATCCTTATTCGAGCTACTATAGGCCGAGGTCGTCACACTTCCAGTCCTTCTGGATAGCGGAGCTACCCTAAGTTTAGCTACTATACGCCGAGCTCTCAACACTTTCAGGTCTTACGAACGACCTTGCTACCCAGATTCCCGACTTCTCCATACTACCACTATTGTCCGAGCTCCTCATAATCCGATCTATTGACTCTGTTGAATTACTCCCCCAATCCATCGTCCTGACTAGATCCGATTCATAAATCGAGCAAGTCCTGGTCAGTTTACCGAGCTATCCTCATGTGCTATATCACTACTAGTTGCTTAAAATAATTAAGTAATTAGCTTTTGATTTAAACGTAGATAAGGATTTTAATATCATTCTAAACTACTTGCGGTTGAAGTAATAGATATAAGCATTGTCGGTCATTAAGTTTTCATTTAGTTAGTAGTAATCCACATATAGTCTAAGCTATAAATAAATCTTACTAACCTAAGCTCTAGATATTATATGTAATTATGTAAAAATGATACAGTCTCGTAAAGGAAACATTTCTCTATATAACACTCCAATAAGAAATTGTCACATCACTTTTGTTTGACTACACCTAAGGGTCCATATCAAACTAAAAGATCTAGTGGCTTATACTGAATTGAGGGGAGGGACTGTAACTGTAGTGGTAATGAAATGAATTGTATCGATGCAGAAGAATCGAGCAACTACAAGAGACTGCGAGCCCAGCCAATAAAACTAAAACTAAAATTGCACAACTGGGTATGGATTTAAGATGGTAAGATGGAATTCTAATTTTGGGAGGAGTTGGAGATAATCCTAAGTATAAAAATAAAAGTGGGGCGTGTGGACTTGTGAAACTCAAACTTTGGAAGTTTGTGAGGATTGTAGTAGTGAGACGTATCGTGTATAAAACATTGGCATCTTGGTCATGAGAATATTTGTGAAACTGAGATGTTGGAATTTGTAATTAGTAATTTTTTTTTTTATTTGTTTTTTTTATGAAACACTAGAAGGGTGGGGAATTAAGGCATGATCCTCAACTTGTATATGGTTAAAATCTTAACAGGGCCAAGGTGTACAAAAGTCTACACGTCTAACAAAATACAGTAAACAAAAATGAAAACGAAAAGAAAACAAAAACAAAAAAGGAGGATCCACCCAAAAGAGTCGTCTGAACCTGGGCTGGAACGTGCTCAAGCGAGCAGTCTGATTCACAAAAGGATCTGAAGTACCATAACAAAACACAAAGAACTAAACACCAACTACTAAAAAGCTACCGAAATCTGAAAGAGGGGTAGCTAGGAAGTCGGCGAGGCGTCGTCCGGGGCAAAAGTTCTTCTGTGGGGAGAGGGGGGTGGGGAGGAGGGGTGAAGGCACCAATGCTAGCTAGGAAGTCGGCGAGACGGTTCCCCTCACGAAAAATGTGCGAGATCTGGTGGTGAACTGACTGGAGTATGGATCTGATGCGCATGAGAGGGTGTTGTATCTGCCACGAGCTCTAGTGTACCGAGGTCAATAGAGTGGCTACAGATGCAGCATCCAGCTCAATCCAATTGCTATTAGTAATTAACTAATGAGTTGTACAAAACTATAACCACAAGCATGTGAAAAGTCAGACATTAACCTACCGAAAGCAAGCAAAAACATGAATGTTTTACATTGTTCCTTATTACTATTTAATTAGTACAGCACACGTATACTACATGGAATATTGATTTAAAATATGTATATGCATATATTTTTAATTAAATAATAATATTTTTTTTTTTATTTTCGGTTTTTCATTAAGTTTTATTCAAAATTATACATGTTATACAGGACCAAAATAATTTTTATTCACATTAGCTTGTGCATTGAATAAGGTAAATAACATATTAAATCACTCGTAGAATAATATGAACATATCATGCTGTAAACATCCACTAATAATATTTTTCTGCACATAGTACAAGAATGTATATCAATACTAATGCTATTTGTTATAGCAGAATTCATAGATATAATTACTTTTAATAATGATTAATTGATAAATTTAATTTTTGTTTGAATATTATTGTTATTTTTAAATATATGATAAGGGAGAGGTCGGAAAAAATTCGGCATCAAGTTTCTTCAGTAGTGCATAATTTAAAATAAAAATTTTAAATGATTCTATTCTCTCTATCCTCCTATATATTAATACAGAATGCGCTGAGCCTACGTGGCTGCTTCTGGTGCTTCGTAATCCTATGTGGCAAAATTACATGCTTCGTTAGGCTTGGGTAAATTTTAATTTAATTCCAAACAAAAAATAATTAGGTTCGGATTACCATAAATATGTTGATTATTTATGATCATGTTACATGTATTAATTGTATTTTAATATCATTCCTTATTATAAATATTGAATTGTATATATATTTTAAAAGTTAATAACTTTTGTATTTTTTATCAGTTTTACATATGTAATATATCAAATTAATCTTCTTTTGATGAGCTTCGATTTAACATCCATATTGTATGTATAAAAAAAATAATTTATATTTATCTTTATAACAATAATAAAATTATTTTTAATATTAAATAAAAAATAAAATTATTTCTCAACTAATATATTTATATTTCAAGTAGTTATATGATATAAGTTATAAAAATTAATATAATATAACACATGTAAGTCATAAGTAACTCATATCATTCTAAAAGATATAGTAATATATTTTTTTTTGTAAAAAAGTAAACTAAATTTAATATAGTTTTCTCATTAATTTTAAAATTTAAAAATAAATTTTTAACAAGTACCCGTGTAATACACGGGTGTTGTACTAGTATAAAATATTTTAGTATCCCACCAGTGCAATAGACCATGACAATTAGTAAATAAGGTCAATTGTTATTTTCTCATTATAGGTAAAGACTTTGATTATTTCTGAAATTTTCAATTAATATAGTCATATAATTGACTAGGTACTATATGGTATCAAGTTAAGCAAAAAATATTTAGAGCTTAAAGAATATCATATTTGTTAACAATTTTTCAAATAAGCATATGCCATGTAGAATATGTATTTCAATTTATCCTTGTAGATTTTTTTTTTTTTTACTCCAATACATGAAATTAAATTAAGAAATAAATCAATTACAAAAATAAATATCTTGTACAAAAAAAAAAAAAAAATGAAACGGAAACATAATATATTATGAATAAAACTTTAAAATAAAATTAATATATTCACATGAGAAAATATTACCGCCAAAGATTCGATTGTTTTTCTTCAAGAAGTTGATTGATTCTAAGAAAGAGAGTCGAATTGAGAGCATCATAATGAAAATTTGGGACGAAAAAGATAACTGAATATTGTGATATAATAAAGGGTTAGGAAAATAAACCATATAATAAACATAAGGAATTAAATATTATTTATTTTTGGTAAATCCAAGCTTAGATGTCAAATGCTTTTAACATCCGAGTCTGCTTATGTGTTTAACACAAAGCATAAAATTTTGACAAGTAGGATTAGGAAGCGTGTGAGTCTGTCATTTAGATAGCGGGGATACTAAAACAAACGCCTAAACGACTACACTAGAAATTAATTGCATGATATCAACATCCATTAAAATAAAACAACAAAACTTTTTGCAGATATTCAACAGGGAGAAAAGACAAGGGTAACTTATTATGGCATCAACCTGGTTCCAAGAAGCAAGTGGAGGCATCACAATCACGGACCAACAACTTGAGGTAACAACTTCCCATGCAATCCAATGTCTCAAGACACTCGTTGAGGTCGGAATCGGTTACCAACAGCACCCATTCCCCCTCATCATCAAGATACTTTAGCTGGAACTCACCCATATTTAGCCTAAACCTCTTCGCTACTTCTTCATACACCTCAGCACACCTGCCTCTTGCCTCAAACTTGAATCGAACTATATCTTCTTTATAGGTGGCTTTCACTACAAGTTTAGATTTTTGCATTTTGCCTACACTTAGAGAACCTGATGAGCTATCGTTCATGTTCATGTTCATGATCGACCCCAATTCAGACGAGTCGGTTGAGGTCCCCCCCGTCGCTTGGCTGTTTGATATTGCAATGGTGGTTTTCGGGTCAAAGTTTATGTTTTGGATAGCTGGCTCAGGATTTCCATTGCTCACAATCACTCCATTTCCGAAGTCAAGTTGTTGTTGGCTCATATCTGTCATTGGGTTCAACAACTCCAATCCTTCCATCACCTGGACAGAGTCGATCAGACCTTGGACATGTTTCAGAGAACTCTTGACTTTTTTTATTTTGCGACAAGGCCATCTCATAATGCCATACGATCTGCATATCCTCTTCAAAGTAGTTGGGCACACTAACAAAACATCAATAACAAATTATTATTCAAGTATCTAAACTAAATGGTGCTTCCATGAAATGAGATTTTCTATAAATACTCACCACCAATGCTCTTTGCAGCATCATTCAGGCTCCCTGAAAAGTGTTGCTTAAGATCACTATAGCTAACATGTTTCTCCGTCGTGTTTCGCTTCCTTCCACTCAGTTTGCTTGATTCACTCATTGCCTACAATAATCACAACATGGAAAGTAACAAAACAAATGTGCTCAATGAAGACTAAATTATAAAATATAGACTAGGTACTACAGTCATAACAAGTACCAAGTAAATAACGAATTGCAAACAGTAAATGTAAAGTCAAATACAGATTGAAAGATGTATAATAATAGAAAAGAAAAAAAAAAAAAAGCATTTAAGTTGGAATTAAAATTCATTCACAAACAATTGACAAACAGTTTCAACATTTAGACTATCAAGAAAATCATACCTCTGAATATACTTGCTAACAAGACCAGAAACAATACACATCATAATGACAGGGTTTAATTAATAGGAGCTTAACAGGAGAGAAGAAAAGTTGTGGTACCTGTTGATGAGAAGCATTAGCTGTCACACATGAAATCGATGATTCAGATAAATTTTGGTTTGCTTGAAAAACATAGTCTAAGTTTCCAGTAAAGTATAATTGTTCGGGTAATGTTCTCCTCATTTCCACATCCTGTAAATTCACATTACCATGCTGCAATTCGTCATCTGTCACTTTCCTCAAACTCTTACAAACCCTGTGCATGGTACTCGAGAGATTATTAAGCAAGACTCGTTCTGCACTCCCTCTCACATTCACAGGGAGGAAAAACTCTATCACATAATCATTATCAGCGGTGTACCTACTTCTAAGCCTAATTGCAACAGCAGCGTTTAGGCCAAACTTACGGGCATGATGAACAAGTGGATAGTCATTGATATCGTATTGCTTCACATCTGGATTGAAGAAAGGCTGATTTGATTGAAAGGCTTTTCCAGCTACACCTTGTCCTTCTTCTAGACAATGTCCCACACATGCATGCACAAAACCCTTCACATCTTTGTCATTCACATAACACGCACTATCCTCTACACACAACACACATTTCTCCTTGGAACTATTAAAACGCCCTCGGGCCAGTACCTTTATAGTTTCCACACCGTGATCCTCTCTGTAACTACAAGGAATCCATGTGAGTGCAAGAGGCAGATTATGCGCATGGCAAACACTACGTAGAACATCATAAATCTCAGCTAACACAGCTCTTTGATTTGCAGAGAAGCTCTGTAAGTTAGCATTTTTTATTAGAAAATCATTAAGAAACTTAAGGGGGAAATCAAAGAATTGAAATAACAAGTAAATTGTTCGACAAATACCTGGGGACGAAGCCTCGGGGGTAAAATGCTCCATAAATTTACAGCCTGCAAAAGTTCAAGCAACTTGGAGGTAGAAAGAACATAAAAATGAAATAGGAATTAATCTACATCTACATCTGCTTAACAACACATTACATTACAGCCATGTTAGCAAATCTTAATACTCAACAAGTTTACATTTTAAATTGAGTGAAGAATTGGCGGAACAATATGATTGTTAATGACCATATTAAATTGATTTTGACTAACCCCTAATTACATAACATGACTATAGAAGTTATACATAAACCTCAAATCCACATGGATAATTTATTTTTACTTCCTAAAAACATCCATGTACACAGAATATTAGTTAATGTATGGCAATTACATTAGCACACAAGAAACCTCCATGGAATAGGTCGCAAGGGTTATTTTGAGAGACAAATCTTACATGCTTAAAAAAAAGAAAAAAAAAAAGTAATTAAAAGCAATTGAGATTGCCACTTAATATTAGTACATTCAAAAACTATATAAGTATTTCTTTGTTCATTATATTAATCTAATAATCTTCTAATAGTTCTATACTTTCCAAAATAATTAAAAGAGAAACTTGATCTACTCATCAAATCTCACAATATGTTTGTCATATTATTAGAAATGTTCCAATTATTAACAGATTACAATATGTTTTAAAATTTGATGTTATTATTCAAATTTAATTGCAAAAATGTAATTAGTTAACATGTCTGAATGGCCATTCGCAGCCACGAGCAAAAGCTTGGAATGGCATCTCGGTCGGATGCTACCGCGTTGGGCCTAAAAGATCTCACGCGGCCATCATACCAATAGTCCACTGGTGGAAATAAAAACAATGATTAACCACTGTCATATGTCTCGCATACATGAAAAGTTTGGTTAGTATGCATAATTGAAATGGTTTTAAAATATACGCAGATGAAGCACTACACATAAGGGGTGAAAAATGTAGCATACGAGGAAATATATATTAATATATAATTTAATTGGGTTAACTTTTTATTTAGATATCATGCATAATGTAAGTTGGTTTATAATACAGTGTACCATTCTAGAAACGCAGTTTTCTCATCATGACATTTGCACGGTCAAAACACACTAATGAATAAAAAACAAGAGTACATAAGCCGATAAAGCTGACCTCTAGCGCACGACACACGTTTTCTATCTCCAAATCGAAATCAGACTTATCCTTCATGGTGGCCAGTTCCAACACCGCACAACATGACCTTTTAGGCGAACCATCATCCTCATCAAACACGGGCAATGCAATAGATCCCCGAACTTCATGAGCGAGGGCATGTTGCACTCGTATAAACTCACACTTGTTATAGTACATGACGTTTGTGGTCCACTCCGGAACCTTTGAGGAAAATACACGACCTGGGAGCCCAAGAAAATTACCAGGTCTTGGTTCCAAGGCAAAAGTAAACAATCGTGATGCTTCACGATACCCAAAAAGCATTTGGTCGGGCAAGTAAGGTTGTTCGCAAGTGCTCAAGACATAACAATCACCCACACATATCGGGACCCACACTTGAGCTAAGACACCCTCTCCAGACAATTGCTTGAATAGATTAAGTGCAGTGAGCATCCTCTCAGACAGCGACCAAATAGTAGGTGTTCTCGGAATCACGGCATAAATGCTCTCAGCAGCATCTTGCTGACCTAAGCTCTCATCACCCATCTCCGTCAAGTCAAACCCGTCACTGGAAAGAGACGTGGAAAACGGCACTTCACTGCCCAATTGTTCTTGAAACATCACTTCGTCTTCACCAATAAATGCGCTTCCTGTGATGTTATCATCTGATATGGAAGTTTCAGGATGCATGAAGTTCAACTCATTAAAGGGTGAGAAGCTTGTGGATGCCCCTGTTGTAGGGGACAAGGCAAAAGAGGGGAAAATGTCATCAGGTACGTTAGTGGGACTGTTTTGCCATCCACTAAATTCGTCTAAATTTATTTGTCTCGTAATATTATCTATTTCGTCTTCCAGAGTTGATCCTGAAGCCATACCTTCCACCAAACTACTCGGCAATTCTGAATGGTCAATTTCTTTCCCTTTACTCGAAGAGTAGTCCATTATAACTTGAACACTGTCTGAAATGTGAGGTGATTCTGATTCTTCACTCTGCCGACTGTTATATGATCTTCGAAAGAGTTCACAACAAATATGCTTAACTATAAGTCTCTTCCCTGACACTATATGGAGTATATCCTGCAATTAAATTAAATGAGTAATAAATGAATAACCAAATTATCATAACAATTATTCATAACTATTGCAAGAATTGAACAAAACAAGAATGACAGAAAAAGATGGCAACGAATTGTGAGGCTACCTCGTAAGGTCAGCAAACTAAACTACAACCAAATATATGCATCTTTCGCACAATGAAGATTGCCCAACGGAAAAGACATGTCAGGTGCATACACACTAAAAAAATGGGGATAATCATATTCGTTATCCAAATTACAAGTACCTACGAAGAAACAAATTACTGAATCAATCAAGTATATCTAAGCTATTCACTGCATAGGTCATCAAAATTAATCGATATCAGAAGTAACATCATTTCACAATTTAAGAAGCTTCAGTGCCTCCCTCGCCTTAGCAATGCATGCAGCGATAGCCGAGTCTTCAATAAATTAGGCAGACGATTGAGCAGAAATTAAGGTTCATTTAGAAGAAAGAAAGTAGCTGAGGGTGGTAGAGTGCTGCGTTTCGTATGGGGATATGAAATGGAAAGTCGCGATAATAAAAACTTGGGAATAGTGATGAATACGCCGGGTTTAAGACGTGCTAATCGGATCAAACCGGCTAGTATCCTCTCTATATATTTCTAAAGAGGAAATAGCTATTTTCACCCCATTCTGAAGTCACACTAAGTTTTTCACACCACTCAATAAAAAGCTAAGTTTTTCACCCCAAAAAGTACGAAGACATATGCGATGAAACATGCGCTAAATAGACGACAAGTATGAGCATGGGCGAGAAAATTATGAGTTAAATTATGCGACTGTTCTACGATGAATATTCGGAGATTCGATGTACGATTCGGTCAATCGCGGTCCGTCGCCCATTAAATAATTATTTTTGTTAGGCGAATGAACTGCGACTATTAGTCGAAAAATTATTCTTCGACACAACTGCGACATGCCGACGTCGCATATTATTCGCGGAATTAGTGCATAATAAGTTTTTTTCGTATTTCTTT